TTCGACCTTTCCCACGGATATCCTCAACTACCAGAGATTTCACTCGCTCTTGAGCGTATAGTTTTGCCTTCTCGGTCAGCGGATCAGGCAATGGGGCACACGGGCATCGACCATAGCGGCAGCCGTCATCAATGTGCATGTTAAATTCCCTCGCTGAAAGAGGAATATGACACCAGCGGCAGATCATATTAGATTTCCGGTTCTCTTTAGCTTGACCGTTTCTACTGGACGTCGCGGAGAACCCGGGCTTGGAAGCAGAAGCAGGAACAGAGGTACCATGGCCTTGGCGTCGCAACTGGTCAGTTACGAGGTCAGCAGCCAAGACCGGCTTGGGACCAGGCGATGGTGGGCCACGTGCTCTCTCGATGATCGCCGGGTTAGCAGGAGGTATGTGGATTGCGTGCCCATCGAGGGACACTCGCAGACGAGTGAGCGCCTCCATGCCTTGGATCGTGCTCGCCGAGGCCGCTTCGTAATTCCTCAGCTTGGATAGGTAAGCTTTGAGGTCATTAAGTGAGATCCTATGAAGCGGTACGGCCTCCACCTCATTCTTCATAGCACTGTTGATCTCATCGAGTATCATCCGAAGTAGAGAGTAGTGGAAACATGATGACACACTGTGCCATTGTGCCACTAGCTCGTTTATGCCAGAACACATAATAGGTTGCCAATAGGCTCGAGACCGGTATCCGGAGCCGATCCCGGCAGTGATTGGGACAGTTGTTCCGTGGCGTTGAGCGAAGCAGTTTTCCTTTGTGTTGTACGCATACACAAAGGATTTTTGTCCCCTAGCGTTTCGCTAGGAACATTGCCATCATTATTCACTAATAATATATACAACTTGTATTTCCTTAATTTCCTCTCAATTTATGTCCTCCAGTAATGTTCAGTCTGTGTTGCGTTCAACTGGTGCCCAGACCCAGGTGGCACTGGGTGGCTTCAAAAGGCTTGGCATCAGGAGCCGCCGAAGTGGGACTACAAATGATTGACGATTTATTAGCCTTGTATAAGATTGATGTGATATATCAATATATCCAAAGTGAGCAGAATCCTGCTGATAAACTCTCTCGCATCCCAAGTTATCTCAAATGGGCAAGACCATCTAGGAGATCGCCGAAAATTTCGGCAGCGGGAGCAAAGCAAGAAACCTGGCAAGACGTAAGTACTTGTAGAAATGGTGCTATATGGATTCCATCCTCTCAACTCCGTAACTTCGTGATGGATAATCATGATCATGAGGGAACTGAAGCGTTATACCAAAGACTCCATAAATGGGTTCGTGCGGAAGGACTCCGAAAGGTTTGCAAAGAAGTTGTTGATCAGTGTGACGTGTGCAAGCGAGGAAAGGCACACGCTAATCAAAACGCTGACGGAATAGACCAGACTACTGGAAAGAAGCGGAAACGTGACCCCGATGAGGTGCGTGCAGTAAGAAAGTCCGCAATACCATTCAATAAAGTCCACATCGATGTGGTTGGTAATTACCGAACAGTATCTGGTCGCAAAGCCTTTTTTGCAGTGACCCTTGTGGACAGTGCAACTGGATATGTACTGGCAAAAGCTACCAAAGGAACTCCAGTCAGTGAAGATGTGGAAGCACTTTTTGCTCACATGTTCGAAATCTATCACACAACACCTCTTGTTGTATGGTCAGATTCTGGAAGGAATTTGGTATCCAAACGAGTCGAAGCATTTTTGTTGAAGCATGACGTGCTTCATTTAACCACAGCTAAGAATACGTCCCTAACAAATGGAAAAGTGGAAAGATTCCATCGCACACTCAATGAGTACTTACGAACACACGCCTCTCACGATGAAATCGATGGCCAGAACTTCTGCGCCTAATCCGTGAAGGCGTTGCCAAGTATAA